TGGTGTCTAAGTATTTACTGTGTAAATTGTAAATACAAAGTATTAGATTACTGAATAATCCTTCCTCCCTACCTATCCTACACATCACCACCAAATTATTATGATTGTCTGTGTTTTAATAAAAATAATAATAAACTTGTTTGTAATAATAAGCTGTTTTATTAATAATTTAATATCTAAATACATTATATACAAAATAAAATTAACTTGACATTTTACAAAAAATACTATCAGTAACTTATTCATATTTATATAAGATAAGTTATTTATAGAGAACATAAAAAGATTTTATTTAAAATTACGATGTAAAATATAATCATATTATAACCTATTGAATAAAGAAGTAAGACTGGCTCTTCCTTGGGTGTAGGATCTTGTATAGCCTAGATAAACCTACTGTCTCATATGTCTGCAATGCACTTTTAGATATACTTTTCAATGAAATATTTATAAAATGGATAATATAATTGAACGTTTTTAATTTTTATTTCAATAGATTGTCACTACAAAAACATTAAATATATTCTAGTTAAGTTAGTTAAGTTCTAGTAAGTTGAAATATTTTTTTATTTCTACCGTCCTACATATAGGACAGTAGGCTTATCTGGGATAGTTATACCATCCCCATTGGTGGTAAGCCAGCTTGCAACGCTATAAGCTACATGAAGATGATAGTGAAGAACCTTATCTTTAAGCAAACATCTCCACCGTGCCTTGAGTAATCCGAAACAGTGCTCAATGCAGTTACGTCCTTCTTGAGAAAGGGCTTCGAAAGTCGATTTGTATATCCAAAAGTATTGTCTCCATGCTCTGACTTTATGACTTCATTTCGGCGCCTAAACCACACTTCTTCATTATAAACACACCACAACATATTCAAAGTATTATTTTAAACGGTAAACATAGTCCAAAACTATGGTAAACAAACAAACCACTTATCGGTCTCAGCACAATGCTCTGTTGGATCATATAGACGCCATTTTTTTAACGATAACTATTGGGTTCTGGAGATCGGTAAGTGAACGTACAAAAACTTCGACATCGTTTCGTTAGCGCTTGTCAAAATGGTAACTTGGCTAGCATTTATATGGAGTAAGCGATCAACGTTTTAGAAACGATTACATTCCATTCTATCACTTTGAACAATTGTCAACTTGGCTAAGACTTTTCTATTCGTTTGTTTTGACCACGTGACTTAACGATGAGATGATGTCATTCCCATACATTTTATTAGTTTTCTAATAACGTTTACGCTTGTAGAATGTCAACTTGGCTAAGCCTGCAGCACAGAAATCGACTCTTTCTATTTGCAGCTAACAGACACAATAAAAACTCATACATGCAGTAACCTCATAGTGATGGGAGAAGTTAATGCGCGAACAGGATGCAGAGTAGATGGTGAAGATATAGTGCTGGGACCATACAGTACAGGAAAGAGGACACGAAACGGTCAGAAACTGATTCATCTAGCATACGAGAATAATCTGAAAATATTGAACAGTTATTACATAAATCGCGCGAGCAACAGGTGGACTTAGATGTCTCCAGATGGGCGTTACAAAAATGAGATTGATTACATTCTCTCAAACCGAAGTAAAGTTTTTCAAGACTGTAGAGTTATAAATAATTTAAACTTTAACAGCAATCATAGGCCTGTCAGAGGAAAACTGAAACTAAACACCTCTAAGAAAAGACCTTTTAAAGCGTATCTAACAAACAATATCCCAAGCTTCAATGTCAAAGAAATTAAAGAAAAGTTAATAAACTTCATAGAAAACACAAAAAAACTACACATACAAGACAACTGACAAGACAAAAACGATAGAAGTGTGACCAGAAGACCAGAAATAATTACAATAGCAACCAACTTCTTTAAAAAATTATACTCAAGCCAAACCATGACACCAACAATAGATTTATCAGGACAGGAAGAAGTACCTCTTATAATGTTGGCACAGTTAGAAAAAGCAATATCAACACAAAAGAAAGATAAAGCTCCTGGTTCTGATGGCATCATCAACGAATTCCTTATAGAAAACAAAGACACCATTGCACCGATATTAGTATACATATTCAATGAAATCCTAAAGAGCGAGTATATTCCACATCAGCGGACTACATCGACAATAATATTATTACACAAGAAAGGGAACAAAAATGACATCAACAACTACAGGCCTATCAGCCTGATGTCTAATATTTACAAAGTTTTTGCCAAAGTAATCTTGGGCCGAATAACCAAGAAGCTCGATGAGAACCAGCCTAGAGAACAAGCGAACCCTTATTCATTCCATGGGTGTCGTAAGAGCCGACTAAGGGAGAAAACTACCCAGAACAACAGCAGAGAGAAGGAAAACTTGACACAAGCCCTATACCAACCCGTCTGGCCAGCGTGGTATAGTGCTAATCACGTGTATCTCATTATAACGAAACGAAAAAAATTGTATGCATTAACTTACCATTACTCCAATCTTAGTGTAGTAGAAAGTTCTGGTTTTCACGCCAAACAAAAATAAATCATTCCTAATTGTATCTGATGTTTGATGCTTGCGGGTACAAACCCTATATCAGCCCGTCTGGCCGGCGTGGTATAGTAGGCCAAAACCTCCTTTCAAAGGAGAGGCCTATGTTCAGCAGTGGACTATTAAAGGCTGTTGATGATGATGATGATGTGAGATCAAGAGTAGATGGTAACTGAATTTTGACCAAATTTTTATTACGAGAATCGATCTTCGATCTTCAATTAGTTTGTTGCGAGTAAGCTTGAATCACAACAAAGCCCTAAATCACTCCAAGGAAGGTCAGATGACATGAAACTAAGCTCGAATTTCTGGGGTTTTAGTTCTCATAAATGCAGAGATGAATATTAAATAGCCACATTGAATTATTTACTGTCACGATTTATGTCCATTACCCTTTTCGGACGTACTTGAAAACAGTTTATAATATACTCGTATTAACACTTTGATACATTTTCGACTGCACGGATGGCGTAGTGGTTTAAGCGGTCACTTCGCCGCTTCCTTCTGCGCTGTGGGTTGAAGCCCCTCATATTTTTTTCACAAATACCGGTCAGTTACAACAGACTCCTAAACTAGGTAAGAAACTGTAGACAGTTATGGAAAACTGTTGGACACAACACTTTGTGTGATACAGAAATTATTGTTTTAAGAGTTGGTTTTCTTTATATTTTTTCTTGAACTTGCATCTATATATATATACATTTATATTTTATATAGATATATATATTCTAGCCAGAAAGGTATTCAAATTTGCAGACAATACATACTGACATTTTAGTCCCACTACTAGTATTAAGAGACTGACATATTTCCATTGACCTGGCACTTTGGGGACTAGATGAAATTATTACTAGTATTCTGAAATAAATGCGTTTGAAATGTTAGCAATAATTCGAACACGACTGGAACTGGCTCTTGCTGTTGAATTAAAAATCCGAGCTTTCTATCTAAATTCAATTAACGTTTTAAATTATCCTACGTTAAAAGTTTAAGTTTTTTTAAACTACACGTCTGTTTAAAATATGTCAAACATTGTATGAAAGCAAACCAAATTAAAGAACAAACAATTAGGTTGATCCTTTTGATTTCCTATTGATAATGTTCAATATAATTTCAATACCTTAGCTTTGATTTTGAATTCTAACCATAAAAGTGCTGATTAAAGTAATACTACTACTGATAATACTACAGTAGAGAAGTTCCTATTATTATATTTATTTATATATACTTTGGTTCTCGCACAAACTACAAAATTATTATAATGATCATCTGACGGCCGGAAGGCGTAGTGATTTGCGTAACGAACTGCTACGCCCGGTTCTATTCCCGCTCAACTCAAACATTTGTGTGCATGAACATTTAATGTTTGATTTGGTCTGGGTGTTTATATGTATAATATGTATGTATTTACAATATATGTATAAATGTATATATGTATTTATATCAGTTATCTAGTATCCATAGTACAAGCTCTGCTTACTTTGGGACTAGATGGCCTTGTGTGAATCTGGTAGAATATTATATTTAAAAAAAGATTGTTTTATCTTGGGGCATTAGAGCATAGGGCAGAATATTATATTATATCATATGACTTGCACCTAGTCACTTTTATCTCTAGGTTAAGGTTAAAAATGTTGGTAAACAGTTTCGATCGCAGCTGTTAATAACACAACAATTTAATAAATAAATAAATATATGTATATATAAATATGTATATGTATATTTATAAATTTTGTTTATGTATGTGTGTATGTATGTATGTATGTGTATTTATCTATGTGTAATGTGAACAGATGTTTATTTGTGTATGAATGCTTTTGTTTATATTTTAAATATTCACGTGATAATGCGTTACGTGTATGTAAACTACCCAACTTTTAAATAACTAATATCCGTATCAAGGTTGTCTAGAAGATATCGCCGTGAGCGATAAGACCGCCGATTGTTATTTGTAATGTCTTGTGTGTTAACTGTAAACAATAAAGATATAAAAAAATAAATAAAAATAACAATTTAATAAAAACATCACAAGGTGGATAGCATGGTTAAATATATATACATAGACGACGTTTTTATCCCATAGACAGGCATACATACATTCATAGATAGGGTTTTAATCCCACAGACGTAATATTGGGCACGGCTATTTCTGTTCCGTTCACATACATTTCTTAATACCTAAATTTTTTACACATTCGTATGAACTTATAATTTATCTATATTGTGTATGTTTTTAGAAACATATAAGTGTATTTATCAGCAGTCTGGTTGCCTAAATTTTTATTTATTTATTTATTTATAATATGTAATTTTTTACACATTAACAATAAAAGTTTAAATTAAATAAGCTCACACAATTCACAGCTGTTTTTTTCACAAACTAGGCAGAGCTTGTACCATGGCATGTCACATAAATAAAAAAATATTGTATCTCTGTTAATCTTTAGTAAAAAAAAACCATTTTCTTTTTTTTAAATGTTAATCAATACTAGATGTATCAAAATCAAGATCTTCACTAAATCCACACGCCGTTCTCCATTCTGTCTCGTTCAGCACATATGTAGAAGTCAAACTACGAAAGCTGTCAAGGTCACAGAAACCGTCGCATCCATCTACTTGGAGGTATACCTCGTCAGCGCCAGGTTCTTCAAGAAATACAGGCTGTAAAAGAAACAAATCATTTGTAACAGTTACTTTTCTGGGAGATAAAAATTATAAAGCTAAATAAGGAATTTTGTCAAAAAGGTCAGAATCTTTTCTTACTTATAGATTCTAAACTCTGGCTAAGATGCATCTTCTCAATTAACTATCGCCATAATCCAACATATCGGCAATGTTGAAAGTGCAATGTCCGCTATCAAATCACGTAATTTGTTGATTTGAAAGTCTGAACATGAAGTTTTATCGTTTCTAGACATGTTATCTTCGGTAGTCATAAAACATAACAATCGGTCAGCTGTTTTCTTCGTCTACTGAAATTTGTCATTGTGGTGCAAGGCCATTCCATTGATAATTTTATTATCTAAAATATATTTTTGACCCTGTTTTATGCACATACATTCATTTGTTTAGGTATTTTTATTACATGCTTAAGCAAAACACTTACCACTACAATATACTCTCCAGTTTGTAAATCTCTTCTTAATTCCAGAGAAAATAAGGACCCGTACTTGGGCACACCTAGTCGAGGATTGATCCTTGTAATAGAACTGAAGGTGAATACATTGTCGTCGTGGGCAGAGTACACCTGGATCCTAGGCACATCTCTTCCATTTATAACTTTGTCTACCGCATCAAAGAATTCTTGCAGATGAACTCCTGAAATTCAATCAGAATGTGGTGTGGAATGTGGAATTGTGTACTGTTGGTCTGCCTATGTCTATATTGTCATTTAACTTCAATAAAGATTTATTATCCGAAATTATTTAGATGTCTCTGAAGATGCTGGTCCCTTATGTAGGTACATTAAATTAAAGCTAAGGTACTAACGGCTGTGTAAGTTTACCTGAGTACAAAGATAAGTATTTGTCATCTCCAAATAAAATATCCATGGCTTGTCCTGCACCTTCTACTATTTGAGGAAGCAGATCCTCCAAATTTTTGGGAAGCGGTACACCTAAACTTATCTGGAATACGTCATATTTATTGAATTTTTGGAATAAATGCCCGACAAACTAAGAATTCTTTTTTTTCTTTTCTTTTTTTAAAGACAACTCCCGCAGTAGGAATACATTAATGTGTCGCGGGGGACTTTACAAACATATATGAAACGGACACAAAGAACACCCAGACTCAGAACAACAAATTGTGGATCACACAAAGTGTTGTTCCATGTGGGGTTTGAACCCACAACACTCGGCGCAGTAGGAAGCGGCGTGGCGACCGCTTAAACCACTACGCCATCCATGCAGTCTATAGTCAATTTAAAACAATGTGGATGAGTCAACACATAGAGATATACGATTTAGTGACTTTGTTGCTTTTATTAAAATAACCAATAATAAAGTATTATTAATCCTTGTAGACATAAAGCTAAATGCGGAATAATTGATTTGACTAATTGATTTGACGGGCCTGTTGGTCTAGTGGTTAGTGACCCTGACTGTTAAATCGGAGGTCGTGAGTTCGATTCCCACCCAGAACAAATATTGAGTGATGAGCACGGTCATTTGTTATGTGTCTGGATGTAATTTATCTATATTATGTATTTATTTAAAAATATATAAGTATGTTTATCAGCAGTCTGGTTACCATAGCACAGGCTCTGCCTAGTTTGGGATCAGACGGCCGTGTGTGAGATATATTATATTATTATTATTGAATGTCTTTAATGCATACAATAATTTGGTTTCTATATATCAGAAATATGAGAGTTTAAAATATTTGAATGAAGTATATTCACCTGGCTGACAAACATATCGTTAATGACATACAGTGTAACAGGAGATAGTGAGACATTGATGTCAAAGGTGTTCGATATTTCTTCCATAACACGTTCATACTTTGTCATAGTTGGAGGGGATTTCGATAAATTGTTCGCGAAAATATTAGAGAGAACTGGACAATTTACTGTGGGTAACAGCTGAAATAATAATATACAAACATTTAAAACATTTGGATTTAAAAAATATTTTTATGTCGTAGATTTTGTCTAAAGCTCGATAAAGGTATTTTAATAAATTTTAACATAAATTTCAGTTAAAGACTATCTTTAAAATCTTTATAAATACTTGTCAATTGCTCTATATTAGTCTCGTTAAAACTCAAATAAGGTTTAACCTTATAGAGCGCATTATAGTCAGTTAAGAGAAATTACGCCTGTCCGTTTTAAATACTTACACTGTCATATTTCGCTCTCCTAGTAGTATACGGTACGGGAGTCCAGTTGATATCTTTACTCCAATTATCTTTACCTGGAGGGTAAACAGCAGCCATGGCCGCCAGTACCGTCATTTTGGTTCTAGTAGAATCAGTTGAACGAATAAATATTTCTGATGCGTTGTATTGATCCGAAAGTTGGGAGCCATAGCGACGGCGGATGAATTTACCTAATTCATAGCCGCGTAATCTACCTTTCTGAAATATATATTTGCTGTTGATTATGCCAAGAACTATGTACTCTAATTAGTTAAGAATGTTTCGACAGGTTAAGTTAAGAAATATTCTTAAACTGCCGACCTTCCTTCACATCACATCACACATCACATCATCAATAGCCTTTAACAGTCCACTGCTGGACATAGGCCTCTCCTTAGAAAGGAGGTTTTGGCCTACTATACCACGCTGGCCAGACGGGTTGGTATAGAGTTTGTGTCAAGTTTTCCTTCTCTTTGCCGTGCTGGTTGTCCTACGTTAGCTCCCTTAGTCACCTCTTACGATACCCACGGGATGAATAGGGGTGGTGACACTCCGTATTTTTAATCCGTCACCACACGGACCGGACGGACCTTCTTCAGCCATCAATAAATAACATGAAGCTGCATCGTATAATAACCTTAGCAATTGAAAATTAAATAATCGTAAATCGTGGCCTTTTGATCGAACTGTTACTTCTAAGCCAGGGGTCATGGGTGCGATTCCTACCCAGGACAAATGTTGCGTGATAAGCATAATCATTCCGTTTCTGGGAGTAATCTATAGTTAGTCTAGAGTAATAATCTATAGTTTTTATGTATTTCGGTTTGTTTATCAGCAGTCTGGTTGCCATAATATAGGCGCATCCTATTTGGGATCAGATGGTCCTGTGAAAGGTGGGTCAAGGAATTACTAACTTTATTATTAAATACTTACATCTGTGAGTTGGCCGTAGCCGTATTTCTTTGTTTTTTCCAATACCGAGTCTTTGTCACTGGCAAATTGTATTGTTGTTTTAACTGGCGTTCGATCACCATGGCGATGTACCTTTGGATAATGAAAATATATTTTTAAGCTAAGACTTACTTAGGGATCAGTCTTCATCCATATTATTTATTAACAAATCCATTTGATGTATACTCATCAACAGCCTTTAACAGTCCACTGCTGGACATAGGCCTCTCCTTAGAAATGAGGTTTTGGCCTACTATACCACGCTGGCCAGACGGGTTGGTATAGGGTTTTGTGTCAAGTTTTCCTTCTCTCTGCAGTGCTATTGTCCTGCGTATTTCGCTCCCTTAGTCGCCTCTTACGACACCCACGGGATGAATAGGGGTGGTGACACTCTGTATTCTTAATCCGTCACCACACGGAATTGTGTATTGATGTATACTCGTATAAAGAATTTTAAAAGCAAAATATAATAAAATAGATAGGGTATGCCTCAGGGAAGCATTTAAGGTCCTACTTTTTTTGCACGCTATATGGTTTACATCTTTTTTAATAATATTGCTCTTATATTAACAGGCACGTTCTAAAACAACTCTTTTATAACTTATATTTGAGTCAATCTAATACTAGCTACGCTTAGGGGACCTATTTAATTAAAGTATATACGAGTAATACACTACTTTCTTCAACAGCATTACGAAAGAACATATCGAAAACAGTTGCAATTGTTAAAAAATAGATCATTCAAAGAATAGATAATCATACTAACCATAAAAGCTAAAACCAGTTCAGTCTTGTCTAGGATTGAAACTTCACACAAGCATGTCTCTGATAACATAAATATCACTGCACAGATCAATATCTTGTACATTTTTAAAAACGTTCTTGTGATTACTAATAAAGATGACAGTAAATTTTCAACCTGCAAATGAAATATATTTTAAAATTATTACTTAAAGCCAGAAATAACTGCTAGGAGAACAATCCAAAAAAGTTTTATATTAGAGTTATATCCTGTAATTTCGACATTTCTGTGTTTATTTGCCTGTATGCCTTTGTACGAGTGTAAGTACTAAGCCTACAAAAGAAAAACGAAAATTTTGTGCTAGGTGGGTATCGAACCTTCGACCTCACGTTTGGAGTTGGGATCGGTAACCACTAGACCAACAGGCCCATCAATTATAATACAAGACAAAAAAAAAACTATCGACAAACATAGGTTAAATGTACTGAAGAGCACACCACGATCGTGGCGGTATGATCTATCATGGAAAAAGTAGCAGGTAGTCATTGTATAGGAAATTAAATGAGTCGGTTCGGCTGGGAACCAACGTCTGTACCACCGCTCCGGGACAGAAGCGAAGATACGAGTATCACACTTGAAGCAGGTTGGACGACGGTGGTCATGTTTCTGTCACTGAGAATTGGCATTTCAGTCGCCGTGGCAATGTTGTCATACTTCTGTCAGCAACAGTATGCGGCAATGTTCGACCGAAGATCAAGAGACAAACACAAACCACGTAGTGGTTTGTGTTTGCATGCGTCGTCGTTCGGTTTCGCTCATCAAAGTCAGACGTGTATCATTGCTACCCGGGACCTCGGTGCTACTCGTTTAAATTTTTTGATATTTAAAATGAAATTGTACAGCCGTTTAGAAAAACATTTAACGTGCCCTCTGTTTTCCAAAGGCTGCCACAGCGCCTGCTATTCGGGCTGGTATCTCTGACACCAAGGTGTTGTCGCTCCTTATGTGACTGTCGAGATATTTGAAATGCGACACTTCCACCAGTGCAGTATTGTTCAAGTTGATACCGGAGCGATCCTCACTGCAACCTTTAGGGGGCTGCTCAATCAGATCGTCCTTTAGTTGGCTTCGCTTGCATCATTAATAAAGAAAAACAAGAATCTGTATGATGTGGCCCAGTAAATTGGCAATGTTTGTGAAGCTCCGAACTTGGAAAAATTATAGCTAATAATAGATATATAAACGAAGACCTGGTTGCATCCACACGTAAATGTAAACCAACCGTTCCAACCTGGCTTTTAATCGCCTAATAACTTTTACATGATGATCACTTGACGCAGCGAAACAAAAAGCTATCGAGTAGTGCACGATCACTGGCGAAAGAACAAGGGTTCCCAAAATCATGCTCAGGAAGATCGGCAGTTCCCCTTTATTTTTTATTTTTAAACTTTATATTTTGTACAGTTTGTTGTATAAACATGTACCCAGTTTGAGAACCATTTGTATATTACCTGCCTAATCAAGCTAATCAATTAACGCACGTAATAACACAGTATCATAATTATGATGTTCTCGCATGTATTCACGCGAATAATTTTTTTTATTATTTTTATATTCTTAACCAAATGATACTTATTGATACTATTGTGAAGTATTTTACATGTTGTTTACTACTTATCTGTTCAACAAAGGCAAACCTGTATCATGGTAATTGAAATTTTAAGTGTTATATGCATAACTTATATTTCTATGGCACTGTCTTAGTTAGTTACGATTACGAATTATAAATTTTAACTGCATTTTTAGTATTGTGCAGTGTTTTATCTACTGAATTAAATAAGCATTGTTTTAATGTTCTTCGCTGGAGTTATGTTTTCCTTTGTGTCGATAGCTACTCTCACCATAAATCTTTAGATGTTTAATGTTTCGAAAGAATGTCATTTAAAGAGTAAGCCTCGCTATGAATATTGTTATGAAAAAGGGGACTATGAAGCTATCAAATTATCACTGTGTAACATAAATTGGCATACATGTTTAAACAATATCGCTTTAGAAGACGCAGTAAATACATTTTATAAACACCTTCATGACGTCATAGACCAATCGATACCCCAAAATTCTAATTCTTTTTGGCACTGCAGGCCTTTGAAAAAAATACTTAGGGAAAAATATACATTTTATAAAAAATATTAACATAGATATAATATTTTTATTGACTACAACACATTTTGCCTTCTTCGGGAAAGAGGTAAACGTATGGAACACGAGTGTTATATTTTATATATAAAGCGCTCTGAAGATGCAATAATTAGGTGCCCCAAGCATTTCTGGTCCAGATATTAAATCAAATAAAAACGATTCCAATTCCAATCCAACCCTCGACAATTTGTTATAATGGTGGTAAATATGTAATCTTTTTGCTGCACGCTTTACTCCAACTTTCTTCCGCCGTCGACTTCTTCCTTGCCAACTCCTGCATCTTATGATGACGTACCCAATTGTATAGGTGCCATAGAGACTGACGCTGATGCACTTCTGAACCTACTACAATCTCTCGATCTATCAAAAGGGGCGGGACCCGATAAAATTCTACCCTTGTTTACTGTTAAATGTGCTGCATGCTTAGTCGAGTTTCTAGTACCTAGAATTTGGAAATCCGCATTTATCACCTCTATACACAAGAACGGAAACAAAAATGATACTAAAAATTACAGGCCTATTCCTATTAATATAGTTTTAGGAGTAGACTGTGTACTCACAACTATATGTTACCTCAATTACCTCAATTATAATTTCAGTTTTATCATCAACGTTATCAATTTTACTACTTTTTACGGACTTTACGACATTATATATGGATGCCGGTGGACAGGTGCAATTACAGTTTTTACTGATTACAGCAAAGCATTTGACTGCATAGATCAAAAAATACTTTTACAGAAACTGCTTTTCGCGGGAGTCCACGGCAACCTTTGCAGGTCGTTTGCTTCATATATTGAGAATCTCAGGCAGTAGGAGTAAATGGGTTCTTGCCCACCTGGTGCAAGGTCTCTTTCGGCGTGCCGCAAGGTTTATTACTTAGCCCACTTTTTTTTTTATTAATAGCTCCTCAATGTTCATCTAACTATAGGCAGAACTCATTTTTTGTCAGAGCTGCGAGAGAAATTAACGGACTGGTTTGGCTGGTTGGCTTTCCACAATTAGATCTATTTAACTCTAAACCATGCCAATTTAAAAGGATATTAACAGAGGCCTGGTTCTCAGGCTAATATGACTAAACTGTATTAAGTACTTTTGCTTACTTTGCTACCATTTCGGTTTTGTCTCTTTAGTTTCTCCTTTCATTTACCTTTTGATGAAAAAGAAAACTTTATGCTGTAACAAACACAGCACATAACTTATGTTGATAATAAAAAAAAAAACGACTTATCTGTGGTCATAGTCATATATGTCATGGCGCTGACGTGGTATTCACTATAGTTTTAGGTTATTTATGGTACCAAAGGGAAGAGAAACATTTACATTTAAATATCAAAATGATTACACTAAATTGTTTAAAGTATGTAGATTTCTACCAATTGCACTAAAACATAAGTACCAAATCTTAGTAAATAATCATGGCAGTCGGGAGAATGACTTGAGGAAACACACTAGTGAATATATTACTCGCTCGGTGACCCACGGCAGGTATACTGTTCCAAGAGCACACAATTATTATGGTGACAGAACTTTAAAAAACGATAGCCTTATCATCTTAATAGTCTGCCGTTGGACATCAGAGAAGAAACAGACAAAGTTATATTTAAAAGGAAACTTAAAAAGTATTTTTTTTATTTATTATAGTTATAATAAGCTACTGTTGTGTGTACCTATAATAGTTTTTAAATGACTTAAATAAGACAAATGTACGGAGAGACGATCCTCCAGTCAAACCATTAACCCGGTTTTGGGGGACAAGGAATGTAATGTCATGTTAAAAACATAAAGTTGAAGTTAAATAAATTAAAAACTCTTGTAGATCATCACAGTTTGGGATGACCGCTGTCTTCATGATTTCTTTTAGTTCGTCATAAGCGGTGATGTCAACACGGTCACATAGTTTGATGTAATCTGACAGCTATTTGCATGTTACTTAGTGTTTGTTCGGTTTATCAAGTCGTTCTTTTAAATATTGTTATTGCTATAAACCGACACTTTAGTAATCTTAATGTTACTAAATTAATTACATGCTCGTGAGTCACATTTCCTTTACAGTAGGCAAGTATTTTTTATGACAGTTTATTTGTATTGATCTACTTCTATATTATATTATGAAGTTTAAATTATTCATTATGTAGTTACCAAAGCAAGGAATTACCTGAGATATTCGTATCGTGAGCAGTAAATTCTTAAATACAGTATAATATTTAGTAACATAGTGAGACTAATCCCACCCACACGCCCACCACTGTAACTCCTGTATATTAGTAACATATAGTAACTTTATTTGTACAGGTGAAATACCACGAAAAACTATTTGTTTTTGTTTCAAGGCAACAATTTTTACTAGTTTATGAATCTCCCGTCTAGTGGTTGCTTCTAAACTGTAACTACCATGATACTTTGGTTAACTAATGTCTTGTTTTTTTTAATTATATAAGATTTAGCAGCATAAATCCTCGACTTTGCCATCGAGTGATTACGGTTACTGAAACCCTACCCAGTATACTATCGACGACCAAAAATGTTATTATCAAAAACAATATACCAAAAAATACATCATTATAAACTTAAAAACATTTTAGCTAAGAAATTTTTTGACTGACTACGGGTGCTGACTTTGTGTTTGTTTACTGACTTCAAGTGTTTAACGTGTATTTCTAATCGCGGAGATTTGTAAATAGCCATTCATGTATTGTATCTTATGTTTTTAAAAATGCTAGCTGTAATTATGCCAAATGGAGAATAAATAAAATAATACTAATTGGTATAATGAGTTCCACATAAAGCAACAATCTGAGAAGGAAAAGATGCTCGAAGGAGTGATAGGAGATATAGAAAGGTGGCAAGGTGTATTAGGAAAGTAGAAATAAAAAACAAAGAGATTAAAAAGGTACTGGAAAGCCAAATAGTAATAAACATTTGTTTGTTAATAATATTATACTACTTACGTGAACTTCACCTTCGGTTTTTTCAGTTGTACACGAACCGATAGGTGAAAACCAACGAATATATTTAATGAATCACTTTAGAATAAATACCGTTGAAAGAGAGCGATATTTAATTATTTATAACATTGATACTGATTATAGCACTGATAAATTATATCTAATATTTTATCGAACACTACGCCTCCGTGAAAGCATGAACTTTGTGTGATAATATATGGAATGGGTCTTCTTGCCCGACTGTATTTGCGTGATTTCGCGCATGTAAAAATGTGGCGTCATCATGACTGAGGTTTTCGTTTACTGTGTGTCGAAATCGATTGGTTAGAACCAAGCGATATGTCATACTCAGTAAGACAATTTGCCCTCATTGATTCTACCTT